TGTATGTATGTAAATCTCCCTATTTTTATAGGTGTCTTATACGATAGTGCTCTGCAGCAAGCTGACTCGGATATTGAAGGATGGTCTTAGCGGCAACTCACAAACTGTTATGATTGCTACCATTTCACCTGCTGATGATCAGTATCATCATACAGTCAATACCCTGAAATATGCTGACCGCGCCAAGGAAATCAAGACACATGTACATGTAAGAGTAGTCCTTTTGCTATTCACTTTTTTTTGGGGTACACAATTCTTATATATTTAAACATCTCATACCTAAATTTTCATATTTACACATATAGCACTCAAATCTTTAATATCACATAAAAAATAACACACATAAAAAATAACACTATTGATAACACTATTGTCACTTTTTAAAAATGAAATGCACATTTTCATGCATAAGCTTTAAATACCAAAATGTTGTGTGTATAAATATGAAAGTTTGGGCATGAGATATGTAAATAAATAAGAATTGTGTGCTAGGTATGTAAATTTTCCTTTTTTGGGGGATTTTTGAGCTATGTGCACTCATTCATAGATGATTATTTAGTTGAGAATTATAAAGTCATCATTTTCAGTTATTGATAATGATTTCCTTGAACCATCCTAATCTGAGAAAAAAAGGAGAAATAATAAAAGGCATAGTATATATGCTAAATAATCTAACAAACCTAAGCTACATATTCTTACAAATAAAGCATCAACTTATAAGATTGTAATGAAATAGCTTAATATTTTTGTTGCACCTGCGTATAAAAAAATCATTCTAACATTTGAAGGACCAAATTGAAGTTGTGATTTCTAAGATTAATTTTTGTTTTTCTTTCTTTCAGAAAAATATTGGGATTATCGACACTCACGTCGCAGATTACCAAAAAATGATAGACAGTCTCCAGGTAATGGTATTTTTATGAAGAAGCATGCGCATGTTCAAATTATTGATAAGAATTTTTCTGAATTGATGACTATAGGTGGAAGTTTGTCGTTTAAGAAAAGAACTGGCTGAGAAGGAGTCTCTAAATGTAAAACCTGTTGAGATAACTTCAAATGATGAGATTTCTTGGCTGAATGCTCTAAGCCAGGAAACTAGTGAAAATGTCCAGGAACGCATAAATCTACAGAAGGCATTGTTTGAGCTTGAGGAAACAAACCTTCGAAACCGCACTGAACTGCAACATCTAGATGATGCCATCACAAAAAATAAGGTTCGTGATCTCGCATATCTCAATACTAGTTAGATTTTAGGGATAATAACATATAGCACTTGGAACGTTGTTATTTCCATTTCCAAAACTTGCACCAAGTGATATTTTTAAACAACCCAACCAATGTATTTAAGCATGCCACGATCAAACCATCAGGAATTTGATAAAAATGAAAATATGTGTTGAGGTTTTGTTGTGAATTTTGATATTTGAGTACGAATTTGAAAATAGATGAAATAGAGTGCTAGTCTTGTAAATAGCAATGTTTTGGGTGCTATATATATA